AGCAAACACGTACAGTGGAAATGATGCACAAAGAAATGAAATTGAATGAAAAACGCAAACATGAATTGATGATGAAATTATCGCCAAAGTGTCCCAATCGAAAGAGAGCGAGAGAGAGCAAGAGAAATGGTGTTTACAATTTGCATTACAGAGAAAAAGAGAAAGAGAAAAGGAAAGCGAAACCGGTTGGTTACACGATTTGATGGGAATTCGCTATTAGAGCTATCAAGTGTTCTAATCAAAAACGATTTAAATGGTTATTTTGCCGGATGCACGATTAAAATGATCCGAAAAACTCAACCAAAATGCTTTTTCGAATATGATTGCAATGTGTCCGCTTCTGTCGTTTGTTGCAAATGGGACTCGGCCGAGTTGCACCGTTTGTGGTCAATTATCTGGACATTTTACCCTGATAAAAAACACGCATACACAAGAGACACAACTGCTGCGCTTCACGTTTTACAAATCGCAACACATGCTATGGACAAATCCAATTATATCCATCGCTGGCTCTGACGAAATGGAAATTTAAGTGTTTTGCTTTTAGAGAAACAACAAAAATTTAGATTTTTTTATAATAAGAAGCGACTAAAAACACATTCATGTGTCAAAAAAGTTGTTATTATTCTAAAAAGAATATCGATTTTGCAATTTATTCGTAAAAATGTCTTCAAAAATAACAATGTATTGTGTGTAAAAAATATATGTGTCAAAAATAAAAACGACGATGCGTTGTTGTTTATTTGAAATTTTCATTTAAAACCATAATCATACAACTATCGCAAATAAGTATTATCACTTCAATGAATCAAATGTGTTCACATCCTCATTAATCTATTTTCACAATTAGTGAATCACAGACGAATAATGAAGATTGTTTATTTGTTTGCTCCTACCTCTTTCCCTCTCTACGTCTTGTCATTTGTAAGAAAATGTGTTTTTTTTTCTCAATACATATACTGTGTAACACATATGCAATTAAAATGTGTATGAGCAAATTGATAATAATACAGAAAACCATTCATCGTGTTGTGTCTCTAGTTGAAATAAAATGTGATTCGCTCTGGATAAAGTTTTGTTATCTGCCAATGTTAAAAAGCTCTTTCATCAGCTTACAAAAACACAAGCAGAAACTTAATTTGTGTAAACAGAGGCAAACAACTTCAATAACAACGATCTAGTACGTTTCGCTTGAATCGAGTATGAATTCAGAAGGCATTTGAATGATAGCTGCAGGCGAATCGTTTGTGACTGATTCACGTGTGAATTTTTGTATCCTTGTAGTTTCAATACGTTCTTACATCGCTGCTGTTTCCATTTTTTTTTTTTCGGTTGTGATAGAAATGGATGTGACTTTGATGGAAGTTTGGTTTTGCTTATATTGTTCCCAAGAGCGTATGTGTGTCTTTTGGAAAAAAAATGGGGGTAGAACGGATTTTCTGGGGCGCTCATTTTCATTGGCGCATCGCAATTGAATGATGATTATTGTTCTGTTGGCGTGGGTTTGTAAGCAAAACAAAGCCTCAACAGAAGCGAAAATGTGTGCTTATACTGTTTTCATAAACATGAGCGAATGTTCGCGCTCCATTTGCTAAATATTTTGGGCGACTACATTTTCGATTGGATGGCATTTTCAACAAAACACCAATTGTCTTTTGTGAGTTTGCATTTTCCATCCAGCAGCAATGACATAAAAACGACGAAGAATAAGGTTGAACTTCAACTGGGTGGATGCGCACTATACAATTGGTAAATTGTTATTTGTTTGGCGTTTTCGTTGTTGTTATTGTGAATATTGTGTGTGTCGACAAAAGTTCGGGTTTTGCTTTTGCTTTCATTGTTAGCTAAACGGTAGTGCTTATTCAGCTTTTCTTTTTTTTTCGGGGGGAATTGGCCATGCTTTAAGTTGCTGGTTCCATATTTTAGCGCATTATTTGCCGCATCTCTTGCTTTCACTGTCACTCTTATTCTTTTTCTCTCTCATTCTCTGTCTGTCTTTATGTATCATCAGCATCGTCAACAAAAGAGAGACCTCCCCAAAAAACAAATCCTATATTCACAATTCGCATACAATGTTTTTCGCTTTCTCTCTCTATGTATTATTTTCGAAATACACACACATAAAATTGAATGTGGGTGCGAGAGGGATAGAGCGGCAATGTGTTGTGTGCACGAGATGTGTTGTATTTTTCCACACGTATACACGAGCAAAAAGCATCTTTTGTTATTTTCCACCAAACCATTTTTGCTTATTTTCCCGACCAGGAATATCTCACTCGAATGAACGAGCGAGTGAACGAGCGAACGGGCTTCTATGTATATGTATGAGAAATCTGTGTACTGTATGCCAATACTGTCTGTCTATCGGATGCCAGAACGCGAGCTAGTCAACGGCACCTTCAGTGGATGTGTGTGTGTGTGTGTATATATGTACATTTGTTTGAGAGCAACTGTATCTATGTATGTCTTTTCCGTGCCACTCTGAATACGATTGGCATTGTGAAATATTTAGAGGGCGGCGTATTTATACACGATTGCTGTTGTTGTAAAGAACAATGATGCGAAAATAAACACTCACAAGCTCACTGTGTATTGTTTGAGCGTTTGCGTATTTCGACATTGCAAAGTATATAGGATATGCTAGCGTAAGCACTTTCTCGCTCACACTCTCTCTCTCCGCAACACAGCAACATATTCAAACATTTTCCATTTCATGGCGCACTGATAACAGATTTCTACTCTATATCGGAATTTTCACGATGGAATCTCGTTGTTATATATACTCGAACATGCAGCTATTTGGATTTGGTATATTCTATTTTTAAACATTTTTAGTTGTTATTCAGAAGAAAGAATCACCATCGATAATGAACAAACAATATATACTATTAACTTTTGTCTTATTTAAAATTGTCGTTTGTTTCGTTGAATTTGCTGGAATATTTACATGGTTTTGTTGAAAGCAATCAACCATTTTTTTCATAATACTGCTTTTCCCTTATTTTTCATGAGATTTACGGATTTTTTCACAATAGGTATCCATTTTCATAACTGGAGAAATGAAGGAAATTGCCATAGAAATAAACTTATATTGAATGGAATGCTATTCAATTTCATGGTATAAATTGAAATGTTCAATTTCAAATGAGGAAACAAATCAAAAATCGGATAATTTAACGAAGTAAGAACAAAAAAAAACAACTGGTTCGTCATCATTTGTGTAAATAAAAGTAAATTTTTCATCATCTATAGAAAGAAATTCGATTATTTTCAACGTAAATATGTGAGAAGTGATATAAAACTGATACGAATCAAGGAAAGAAGAAGTTGTCATAAAGAGAAGCAGTAACATACACAAAAAAATAGACATTAAATAGCTGGCAACTGACAAACGAATCAGCCAACCGAAAAAATACGCATACAACGGAATGTCTGTATTAGAGAGTAGAGAGAGAGCGAGAAAGTCTGACAAAGCGTTCGCGCATACAACAGATGAAGCACCACCCGCAACTTTGCCATACACACACACATACATACACAACAGGGCCCGAATACAATGTGCCGAATCGGTTTCGATTCTAACTAGTGGCTGTAGCATTGAATACATCGTTGCAACGTGAACGAATGGAGTGTTACCTTTTCCATACGAGAATTTGCAAACAGTGTATGTGTATCTGTCGACGTTGCGTGTATCGGTGTGCAAAATGTGTTTATATAGTCAATCCCACCAATACATCGTTCCCAGGCCAGTACAATGAAATCGTCGGCATTATATTCCAAACCATCCATAGATATAGAATTCGATTCGTGAATGCATCATGAAAACACTGTTGTACATTGAAATTCACGTAATGCCATCGCATTACATCGTCTTCACTTCTCTCTTTTGTTGATGTTGCCTACTGTATGTAACTATTGCCGTACATTGTTCGTATTTCCCACATTACAATACACCCACTCATTTGGTATGAAAGATACAAGAACATACCTCTTTTTGAGGCATCTTGCTCATATATAATCACAAATCGAAAATATGTTTGCTCGCATCACATCGTCTATTGTCACCTCCAATCCATTCAGACAACGGTGTTCAGTGTGTATGTGTCTGTCTGTCTGTGCAGGCAACCAAAAATACAATACATGAAATTTTTGCAATCATACCAACCCAATTCAACAAAATGCCATCCAAAACAGCACTCCAACGGTTGTCCAACCAACGGGGAATGATGTGACAACAACGACACAGTCGTATATGACATTTCTTTTTTCCTATTTTTGCAAAAACAAAATACACGGAATTTACATAGTGCAAAAAGACAGACAGTCGACGAAGCGTCTATGCGAGATGAGACATCGTGTGTTTTTGCTACACATTTGATTCGTGCAGCGCATGGTAATTTCTTCGAGTTTTTTTTTTTTTTTGTAGAATAGAGACAACTTTTAACTTTTTTCCACACTCAACCGAACGAACATGAAAGAAGCTCACATTCACACTTCTGCACATGTTCATGTTCCTTTTTTTTGTTTTCAAAACATATTCGGAGAATCAGCCTGGGAAGAATAAACTTTTGCGAAGCGGTAAAATTTTTAATTCTTCTTTCACTTGGATGTATCTTGGTTTTTTTGTGGTGCCTTACATTTTTTTTAAATATATATTTTAATGTGTACGAGTAACAGCCTCTCCAAAGTTAATCATCCTTAGTATAACACAAAAAAATCTACTAAAACCCTCATTGTATCTCTGAATCGTTCATTATTTATGAAAGTAAAACTAACATTTGCATTTATGCAATGAATTCATTACGATGAAAACAACGAATTGACTCTTCGTCGTTATATATGTATAATAATGTTTTGTCAAAAAAAGAATAATGAACAAAATTGCGAAAAATTTACGAAAAATGTACATTGTAAACTGTATTTTAATTAAGCGTAAATTTGAACAGTTTTCGTAGTCGTATTTTTTCTTTGTGTCTAAGTAGAGTTGTATGACCACTTACCCGTCGAATGAGTTCTTCGCGCAATATTTGCAGTCCGGTAATCACTTCATTAAGTTCTCGTTCTTTTTCGTCGATGCTTCCATTAGCTGTGGCCGCAGCAGCAGCAACTAGAGACGCTGCAATATTGGCCACTTTACGATCTGGAATACGGTCTGACACCATGTTTTCACTGCAATTAAACAAATAATACAAAATGAATGCGCGATCTTAATTTTCGGTTCGCATAAAATATCCGAAATCAGGCAATTTATTAAGCGATGTGCCAATTTTCGGTTCGAACGGAAGAGAGAAAGAGAAAAAGATGCGATGATGACAAAATTCGTTTCGTTGTCAATTCATTCTCTCTCCTATTATCATTATAACTCGGTGATAATTGTGTAATATATAATGTTTGATGATGCCGTTTGTGTTGTGTGACGAGTCGCGCGAGTCAGCTCGCTCTGTTATGTGTGAGATAATATTTTTGTGATTTTTGCATTAGCACAACGATTTCTTTTTTTTTTTGTGATTTTTTTTTTTATTTCTTAATACGCTTTGTTCACATTGTTGCACCTAATCACAGCGACTTTTGAATACTGATTATAAACACAACAACAACAACAACAATAAATGTTTTGCATGTAAAAATGAAGGACGAAAAATAAGACGATGCGAATGAAATCAGTACAATAAATTTGCATTGAAAAAGTAATAGAAATAAAAAAAAGTGAAACAGAATGAAATCACGAAGAGAATTAGAAAAAGAAAAATAGAAATGCGAATCAATTATTATCAGTGTTTGATTTTTGCGTCGCTTAGTTTGAGTATGAAGTCATCGTCAATTGAAGAGAGAGAGAGAGACAAAAAAACTAGGTTGAATCGAACAAAACGGACGAAATATATAGATGTATCAAATATTTTGTATTATATGAACATCAAGAAAACTCCCATGACTCTTGAAGAGTCGCAGCGAACAGATAAAATTGGCAGTTTGAATTCGTCGGATAGAGCAATTCCTTCAGCTTTTGTGATGCAAATTTCAAAAAAAGGGGGAAATGGCTTTTCTATCGATCACAGAAATTGGTCGTCAAGAGGGAGGAAGGAAATAATCGATTCTAATGGGAATGTATTGGCAATTTCCTTCGTTTCAATGCCATTGTTGACTTGAGTTGACATTTATTGAAAATTGAATAGACACATACCGTAATTGATGAGAGATTAATACTCAAATCTGGTCGAATCTGTCGAATTGATTATTGCCTTATACACAGGAAGAAAAACGTTTTTGTCACTCAATTTCTTTGCCATTTTGAAATAAGAGTGAAAAACGCAGATTTTTTGAATAAAGTGAAACCGAATGATAGATACGATGTATATTTTAATTAAATGTATCGGTATCAGTCATCTGACTGTGCCATTGCATACATACCTTTGCTTTAATATTGACGTCTGATTTTTGTTGGTTGTGGTTTCATCATCGTTGGACATTTTTTCCTGGCTATGTAGCTGTTGCTTGTGTTGTTGTCGATGGTTATCACGTTGCGCACCACTGTTTTTTGTCACCGCTTCAATGTAGAAAACGAAAGAAGATTAAGTAAAAACCCATCATTTATGAACAAAATTTCACTTTGCTCTAATTTCAAAATGTGTAACGCTTATAAACGTGTGTCAATTTTTTTTTCTTCTTTTATCTGATCAGAAGATGTTTCTTTTTAAAAAAATTGTGAATATGTTTGGTTTTAACTTGGTTTTACTTACCGGTTAAACGCTTTAGAATATTGTCTAATTTTGTGTTACTGCTGTTGTTATTATTACTACAATTATTGTTATTATGAAAATTACTAGAGTTTTTTGTGGTTGTTGTGGTTGTCTGTTGTTGTGTTGTTGACGCGGCGGTATTCATTTGATTGGCGATGCCTGTTGACGATGTCATATCTTGGAATGCGATATCATATTTCGGTAATTGAAATCGATCAGCCGCGTTTGTTGAATTCCGTTGTATATCGCACTGATCGCTAAAAATTTTCAATATAAAATCGTGCGCCTGTTCAATAGCTCGATTTCGTGTTGTTGGATCCTCTTCAATTTTGGTGGCAATGCTATTATCACTTAATTTATTACCGTTATTTATTAAATCACTAGAAATGTTTTCACTCAATTTATGCGACGTTTGTTGTACATTGTCTACAATATCATCATTGTCCAATGCAGAACACTTTAATTTATTTACTTTATCACTTGTACACTTCACTAAAACATCATTAACATCGGTGTCATCGTCGCTGTTGACAATATTTTTTTCATTATCCACATCGTCGTCATTGTCATCGTATTTGTGGTCAATGTTATTGTTATCACTTGGTCGCTGTATTGAATAAAATGTACATAATTTAAATTTAGAATTATAACAGAGAGTGTCCGGAAATCGGCTACAAACTGGATTATTATTCAATATGGCATGAGGTCAAACATCAAATTCATCATCGGGAAACTCAATGCACAAGTGGCTACTCATTTCGAAAATAATCCAATTTGATATGATAATGCAAATGGAATAACAAAAGGGAACGCAATGGAAACACACAAAAAGTTTACTTTACCGTTGCTATGGTTTGGATGTCGTTACGCGACTCTTTACTTTGGGCTTCAGTTCGGTTGATTTCTAAGTCTTCTGAATTTTTACTTGATGGAGATGCAGCGTCCCGCTTTTCTAAATGCTGAATAACCCATTCATGGGGTTTACGAAGTAAAAAAAAAAACAAATGCATTAAAACATCAAACAGATTCGATGACATATGAAAAATGTAACTGAAGGGGAGAATTCGGACGAATGGATTGTACAAAACGCATATTGGAATTATCATTCGCTTGACCTTTTCACCATCGGCCGAACAATTTTAACATTTGAAAATGGTTTTAAATATACACAATATTTCACATTTTTTTTATTCTCATGAATAAATGTGTGTCACAGCGATTACATCTTATTTTGATTGGGTATGTGATTCAAACCATTTTATTATTATCACAAATCGCAAGGGCGGCCGCACACACGCTTGCGCTCGCATACAATCATTTTCATTCTCTTGCCTCAAAACAAACACGAAACGACGCACGCTTTTATTCATTTCTACAATTCACTACCGAACAAATAAAACATTATTTATGTTAATCATTTATTGTCATTTTGAACCGAGTTTTTTCTTCCACAACGGTTATCGCGCAATGTGTTGGGCCGAAAAAAAAATTCGCTCATCAGAAATAAGAAGAAGAGAAAAAAATTGCCAACAATTCACTGTATCAAGCCAAATTTTATTTTTGGTATAATTTTTCATTTAAATTTAAATCTGGCGGTCCGAAACAGATTCAATCAGTCTTTGTATAAAATTACAAAAGAAAAATAAACGGCACATTTACAATGTAAATTCCGGGATTCCCGGCATTCGATGCACGATATGCAATTCCTTTTAACAAAAGCAATTTGTCTATTTGTTGCTTCACACGAATTTCCTTTATTACTTAAAATTTACACTCTTGGCCATCAAAAGCTTTGGCATCCGTCCTTTTGTCGAAAGTGTAAGAAAAAAAAGAGAGAATAAGAATCGGTTTCCTTATAGAAAATTTCAATTTTTAATTTTTCTAAAATGATGAAATGAATCTAGCGGCAATTACACGGCATATCTGTTGAAATATGTTTGCCACCAGAAGTTGGCATTTTTTTCCTAGCCACTGTTTATTCATGTTCAACCTTTGACATTCAAAAGGCTTGCATTTTTATTATCTTGAAAAGAGATTATTGTATGCGAAAAAAAAAACGCAATAAAACTGTGATGCCTTTTCTATTATTTGCGCAGTCGATTACACACGAATGGAAAAGTAAAGAGAATCATAGTCATTCTATATAGGTTTTTTACGAAAATGATTACTTCATTTGTGAGTATTTTTAACGAAGTGATTTTTGAACCGTAATAAATTGACGCGTATCAAAACCATACCGTGTGCACAAATGAAATCATCTTCAGCCGCTCCTATCATGTCCATTTTCTAAGCATCAATTGAGTGTATGCATTTTTCCGCGACATAAACAATCGAAAAATAAGGAAATTGTTTCTTTTTTCTCTGTGAACCTTTTACGGTTTTTATTTTTTTTATTGACTTTTGACCGAGTGCTCTTAGAAAGAACTCAACAAAAATCAAAATAAAATTACGACGACGTTGAAGAGAAAGGAAAAGGGGAAAAAATGAATTACCGAATGAATTGGTGAGCAGAATCCTACGTCGATCTTTGGTCGTTTACACGGCTCTTCATAATCACTGTTATTATTTCGTTCGTCAATCGATTGTCTCGTGTTGATCTTTTCAATATTATCTTCCTGTAGACGCGTTTCACTTGTTAATTTCGATTTAATGTTGTCAATTTTAGCTATGCATGACAACACATTTTTTGCTATGCGCCAGAGAACAAATGGAAGAAACAGAATTAAAAACATTGAACTTTAATTCAATGCGGTAAATGCTTATAAACTAAATCATATCTAATTGTACAAAATGATTTGTGTTCAAACCGTAATTTACAAATTCAATCAACAATGAAAATCTCATTGATAAAAAACAACGAATCGCTCAATTTTCAGTAATGTCAAGTCCCAGTGTAAATTTCATTACGGCGATTCAGAATTGGTTTTAATTAAAAAATGATGAGATAGAGAGTGAGAGTATGAAAAAGATTGAGAAAATGATGTTTTGTGCAATAAATACCGTCAAAACCATCTGATGATAGTGTGTTGACTGTGTCACAATTATCGTTTGCATCGTCGTCGTTGTTATTGTGATCGTTGTTATCGATGTCAGCCGTTGAAATATCAGCCGTGTCAATAATATCACAATCTTTGTTGTTGTCTGAATTGCTATTGAATAGTTCGTTTTCGGTGTGTGATTTAATGAGTGTGGTGGCGTTGTCCTTATCGTGATGATGTGTTGAATTTTTTTGATTTAATGTTGCCAAATTGTGCGCAATGGTTGTAGTCGTAGGTTGACAGCCTCCTTCTAATTTAGTCGGTGGTGATTTTCGCTTTGAAGACATTGCTCTGTAACGAAAACGTAAGCAGGGCCAATTGTTAATTTCCAATGAATATAAGAATAAGATGAAGAAAAACGAACATGTTGGAAGTCAGAAAAAAGACATAATAACAAAAAGATGAGAAATTAGTTGGTGACAAATGAGTCGATTTTAACAATGGCGCACATATTCCAAACACACGAACACACACTCAAAAAAAGAAGTGAATAATGCGTGAATTTGATTCGTGCAGTGTTTTCGAATGGCTTTTGATGTTTGGTTTTGAGCGAGTGTGAGTGTGTGTATATGAAAACATAAGCCATGATTCTGGGGGAACACACAAAAAAAAATAATAATGGAATTATTCCATAAAAGAATTTAAAATGATGGGAACGTCTTAAGAAGACAGAAAGACACATAAAAGTGATTAAGAAACGACAATCGTTTTCGTCGTTCAAACAACAACAACAAAAAATTAGAATAATAATTGACTGGTTATGTGGCGGCATTTTCTGGTTCTTTTCATCAGCGATTTATTGAATGTGTCGACGACAACGACGACGATGGTAATTTAGTGAGTTCGTTGAATTCATGTGTGTTTGTGTGGCATTTTATTATTTGGGCAGCCCAAGTACAATGGAGCCTTCCACTCGAAAAATTAGTCAAAAGTGTGAATAGTTCTACAATAAATGTTTGGTTGGAAATTTGTCGATGCTGTTGTCGTTCACGCTTTTGTTATTTGTATTGTGTGCGCGTGCGCTCACGTATCTCTCTGTTCACGCAGAAACGCAAATGGCAAACAAAATCTTTCGAGTTGATTTCAAACAAAAAAATATTTTTTTTAACAATGTATCGTTTTGCATTCATTTTTCTTTTTTTCATTCCTGATACTTTTTGACACTTGTCTCAAAAAGCATACACAGCAGCCGCCAGAATGATAATAATCGCAAAATTCAAATAAATTTGCCGATTTGTTTTTTTTTTTTTTTTGTTCACTCTCTTTGTTTCGAGAATGTGTCGGGTTTTTTTTCGCGTGAACATTTATATTTCCAAGAATTTCTTTTACAATTGTACCGCAACGGTTACACTCAAATATTTGCCCCTTTTGTCCGTTTTCATTCTTTTGTTGATCACAAAAAAAAAATGCCAATTATTATTGATCTCGCTTTCGATGCGCAAGCGATTGAGTTGAGTAGCGCTCGCGCACACCACACCCAAGTGTGAAAGGGGCCATGCGAACACAATTCCACGAAATGTGGCGTCTTATTTGAACAACTTATTAATCATATGAGATTCGCAATTTTCCCTCTCAACGAAACAATAAGAATAACCTCGATTGCGTAGGAAAGATAGATGGCGACTAAAAGAAGGAATGGGCAAAATAATGAAAGAGAATGCGTCAATCGAAGTGTGATATGGTCATTTTGCATTGCATTGTAAGAACAAAAGAATTCTCCAATCTCCAAGTTTTTGATGTACGAAAAATGCGAGCAATGAGAACGCAAACGTTTCTTATGCGCATCTTTTGACATGTGTTTATCCACCGATCGGCTAATGGATCACAAATGTGAACAATAACAACAACAACAACAACAAACATATTTTCTGTGATTCTTTGGTCGCGCTCAAGTGCATACACTAAGAAAGAAATCAATTGTAAACAACACTCAACAGCCTTTCCGAATCAAATAACAATAAGAAATATCACGTTTTTTATCTCTTTCGCCCGCGCATCCATAGTTTTCCGTTCCTCTTTACCTATTCTCAGTTATACAGCTCCTAATGTACATACATCTTTTGTTCAATGCGATCGCACTCTCAAAAAGAGAGTGCCGCTTCGCGCAATGTGTAAGTTCTTTCTTTTTTGTATGTGCAATTGTGTGTACTGTATTTTAATACTATGACGACTGTTCTTCCACAACTTTACTCATCTCACATATACACGAATATCACACAACAATGCACAAATAATCTTTTTAAGCGAATGATCGAATGATCGCTAGAAGGGCAGTGGAGAGAGGAAAAAATATAGATGCGCGACTAATATTGTGATGAGTACACTTATCCCATTGTCATTGCAGGAGCGAGCGAGCGTACAAACGGCATATGAAGTGAACTTATGTTTGTATGCCAGTGCGATTTTCGATCATTGTCTAATGTCCAAACAAATAGTTCATGTTCACAATCATAGCGCGCACAGTTTGAACAAGGAGAGTGCACAAGCGTTTGAGACAGTGATTGTTTTTTTTTGCTGTCTGAGTAGCGCTAGATATTTGTAACGTCTATGCACGTTCGATTTGCGCTCATATTGAATACACGTCGAACGTAGCAATGCTGCACAGACGCTACAAATATCCAGCGCTACTCGGACAGCAAAAAACAATCACTGGTTTGAGATGAGCGCAGAAGATGTAAACATGAGTGTATATTTGCTCTTCAATTCTCTTGTGTATACTATCTCTAACACACTCATTGAGCATTTATAAACAGACAATGACAAAAGAAAAAATGAGGATTCGAGATATATATATATATACAAAAAAAAAACGTTGTATACATACCGAACAAACTTAAAGACAATACGTGATTTATAATTTTACAATGCAAACACACATTATAAATATACACAAAACATGAATTGATTTTGTGTGAGAAACAATAACCAAGTGAATTCTTTTTTCCGTTCAAAGTGTTCTTATTTTCATTTTAAATGTATGTATATCGTCTAAATAATATTAAAGTTGTGTCTTCATCTCGATTTCTTTATGGTTTCTTTCTTAAGCGCAAAAATGAACGAAAATGTTCATGTTTCGATTTTTGTGTAGTTCGACCGAATAACAAACATATCCAGAAACCCAAAACTTCAATTGATTTATGATTTTTTTTTTCTCTTGTCTTTCTCACTCTATATTAAGCTTAATGCATCAAATCGACCATCGTTTTTCACATAAATAAAAAAAAATCTCAAATAACGGCATATTTTGTCCTGCAGATGTTTTAACATATTCTTCTAAAAAGGAAGAATCTAATGCGTGTACGAGCCCACGGTACTTAACATTTCTTAAATATCTGTCTCAAAACAGCACGAATATGCAGCGACAAAATGCCTAGGTTCAAGTCCTTTTCTTTTCTTTCTCTCTGTATGTGTTTTGTTTTTTTTTTTTTTTTTGGGAAAAATGCACATTGTTTCAAACCAATCATTGACACAGTGAATTTAAACAAACAAGAAACCTATTGCTATGTTCAAGCTTTGTCGAAGTCACGGCACCGACAATAGATTCGTAAAGAAAATAGATATCGACCCAGTTTTTGTTTTTCCAACATCGAAACTCAATGCAACTGGGTGGGAAACGGACTAATTTTTTCTCGAAGTGGAACGCAATGAAAATGCATTCGGTTCTTGTAATTTGATCTGTGTCATCTTTTTCATGGGCATTTTATGGATAGAGAGACATAGTTTCGGATACATTTCTCGGTAGAAAAGTGCACGTGCAGATCAATAACTTTAAATCTTCAAATTATTTTCTTTCAAAATAATCAACTTTAATTCGGTGTGCCGGATGCATTGTGTTTTTTCATTAGTTTTCAGGAGTATAAGATAGAGTAAGAATGAAAGATCAACATTAATTTATCCTCTTTGAAATGCTATTTCCGGTAAAATGCATCTTGTACACACACACCAATATAAGTATGCAACGAAGAAAAGAATAGACTCGAAAGAATCTCTTACATCTTTTCTCGCTTTGATTCGAGAGTGAAGTGTAAGTGCGGTGGAAGAATTTTCTTTTCTATGGTTTTTATTTTTCTAAGCGCACACGGCAGCGTACATAATTTAAGAAGAAAAAAGAACATGCAAATACCAGAGTGCACAAAACTATTTACGATAGAGAGCAAAGAATCCCAGAAAAGAAGCAACTACAAAAACAACAGAATAAAAAAATCGCAGAGAACAAACAACGCACAGACACCAAAATCAGGCGCGAGAGAGGAAAAACGAAAAATCAAAAGAACAACAACAGAGAGCATAGGTTTAGTTTCAGCACACGGAGTGATACAGAGAGAGAGAGAGTATGTATCTGTGTGTATAGTGCGTATACCGGGTAGTATTAAGTGATACTGTATTTTTTTCATCTGTTGTTCTGATGGAAATATACGCATATGGTCTCGACGTTGCACTTACGCATCAAAATGGACACATGTGTAAGCCACGCAACCAACAGCAATAGCAAGCGAAAATGATATGCTCTGGTTTTTCCATTATGAATCTGTATAGATGTTGTTGTTATTAAAATGTGCACAGCATATGTGCGCTGTTGCTATCGCTTGACAATCACAACATCACACCATATACTGAAATATATGTCTGGAAATTAAACCCAAGAGACATCCACTCACACACATACACTCTTTCTATTTCTCTCTCTCTCTCCCTTTTTCTCCGCTCATTTGATGTATTTTTTTCAAGTTTCTGAGAATTCATCGAGTCACAGAAGAGAAAAAACAGAATATAAAAAGGAATAATTCCCTGTGTATCTCTCGTCAAATTACCTACTTGTCGTACCGAGCACATTGTTGTTTCTTTTCGAATATTATTGTTTTTGAAAATGTGTGTCTTTTTGAATCTTTGGTTTCAGATTAATCTTGGAAAAGAACGCAGAAGACGTGAAGAGGCAAAGCAGCGAAAAAAAAACATCTTTATGAGGCCGAGACTCATTGGAAAAAAATGTCATAAAATATTTTTGTTTGCGTTTTTCGAGAGAAAAAATGGACACATGTAAGAATCAAATAATTGGAAGTTTGAAATTAGACACGATGGCAATGAATTAAATTGAGACGAAAAGAAGACATTTTTTTGTGTGTTTTCAATCAAATTGACAAGAAATTTATATATTTTCTTTCAAGAGTTTTCATTGAATCAGTTCTGACTAATTAGCGATTTCTATTCAAAAATTTACGGAATAAATCGGTAGGAAACTGATCAATTAGGTATATCGAGCATCTTCACATCTCTTCTTTCGTTGCTCAAAG